ATCACAACATATCACAACCAATGCTTTGTGCACCCTGACATCTCACCCGGAGTACCATTTCGACCCTCCGCACATGACCAGCCTCCTGCTCCTCCGTGACAGCAACTGCTGCGTTGGCCTTCGCCAAAGTCCGAATTACGCCCGTCTGTGTCTGTGTTTGTGTCTGTGTCTGTGTGTGCGTGTGTGTGTGTGTGTGTGTGTGTGGGTGTGTGTGCGTGTGCGCATGCATGCGTGCCTGTATGAGTGAGTGCATGAGTTGCTAACAGCGACCCCGGCAAGCCAAAAAGGAAAACGACACCATTGCCAACCCACGCCAACTGCATCGCGAAAGCTGCCGAAACCGACCCCCACCCTCTACAGCCGCCGAAAACAGCAGCACTGCCGAAAACAGCACCATTACGTAAACGAACGTAAACAACAGCCCCGAAACAGTCAGTGAGGTTGGAAGCTTGGAGTGGGGGTTTAAAGTGGTGGGTTGCAGATCCGGCCAGCATGCGCTCCCGCATGCGGCCAAGTCGCAACTTCCTGTCAGAGCTTGCATGCCGCTGGCGCTCCACGCGACATGACCTGGGTCTACTGCCTGCCTTGCGATGCGCCGCTGCGCGTGCGAATTTCTTATCATACCATCCCATGCTCGCAACTGCACTTGTTCTGTGTCTAAGAATCTGAGGTTTCGGGGTCGGCGGCAATGGCGGCAGCCCGTAAATATATATATATACATACCTACATGTACCCATATGTATACATAGACATGGACATATACATACATATACATATACATATGCATATACATATACATATACATATACACTTACATATACATATACATAAACATATACATCTACATATACATGTACATATACATATACATAAACATATTATACATATACCTATACATATACATGTCCAAAGACATATGCAGACACATACATGCACATACATATAGGTACATACATACGTACCTACTTACATACCTACATACCTGCCTGCAAACCTACATACACACCAACATACCTTCCTATACCTACCTGCCCTACCTACCTCCCTACCTACCGACCGACCTACATGCATGCATACATGTGTGTGCTTGCGTGCAGTATTTGTGACAATCAAGAAACATGATAACCCGTACTGATAAGACTAATGCTTATGGTCATGGAGCGAGGACACTCGTGATTCTAGCAAAAGTCAGAAAGCTGCAAAATGTACCAGCAGCAGAAGCAGCAGTAGCAGCAGCGGCAACGGGAGCTTTAGTAGTTGCTGCGAGTTAGCAGCACCATGCACTAGTGAATCACTACTGCTATGGGCTGACATTAGCGCATTTGGAGTCCTTGGACTTCTGCACCAGGCCTGGGGGCAGGTCAGGCTTTGCATCTTTGAGCGGAGCCCACACGGAGAAGCAGAGATGTTCCTGGATTAGGCCCGGCCCTTGCCATGACTTCAAGCTCCCTGTAGCTCCAAGAGGGCACCGAGGTTCTCTGGAATTCGAGGCCCAGGCTAGTTTCCAGCCGGGCACACCGCTCATCTGCCTGACAACGGTGCAGATGTAAAAAGCCGAGACATCTGACTGCGGAGATTCAGGGAACTAGTGTGATCGGTTTGGATCTCAGCTTCCATGGCTTGCAGGGCTCAGGGTCGAAGATCGATGGCCGGCACACTCTGACAGCCCATGTCCGCAGTGCATCTGTTAGAGTCTGACTCTTGGGATCGGTAACGTCCAGATCAGTGCGAGCTCTCACCACTCACCACAGCGTGCAGTGATGTGCAGTGTGCAGTGGGTTTTGCGGCTCCTCGGCGATCTCGGGCCGCAGCTGCTGCAGCTGAACCGCAAAGGCCGCGCTGGCCTCTTCTGGGCACAGAAGAGTGCGAGAGCTTCCGCCAGCTTGGAGCAAGGGCAAAGTAGCCGACATGATCCGACAAGTTTAGCAGCCGGCAACACAAACTTTGGAAGCGCTACGATAGCTCGTTGTTGAGGAGAAGTTGGACCAAAGGTATGTACAGCGGACAGTACCAAACTGTTCGAGACCGGAGGGGCAGCGAGGATTTACAATCTCTGCACGCATGTTTGGCAGCCCTTCTTTGTCGGCGGTGCTGTCGATGCCAGTTACCATGAGGTGTTCCATGAAAGAGATTGACACCCCCCGCCGAATCCCCAGAATCGACAAAAGGATTAGGATTTGTTCTTGCAGCTGCGGCTGACAGGCAAGGTGGGAGTGTCAAGCGACAGGAGGTACGCGTCTCGTGTTTAGGAGAGCTCCGTTCCCGCGCGGCCTTCCGGTTCGCCGTGGTTTCCTCCACCAGCGCCTGACTCTCTCTTGTCGCAGTGACAAACACTGCTGAACCAGGACACTTGGAATCTTGCTTGAACCTCGCCCACCCATCCACTACTTAGCGTCCTTATCCTCGTCACCATCATCATATCACCATCACCATCGTCATATCACCATCACCATCACCATCATCACCACCACCATCATGATGATCATGGTCATGTTTCATCAGTGACCACTCCTCACTTGCCATGGAACGTACAAGAGTCAGCCTGAGTCAGAATTCATCACCAATGTCCTCGCCAGCTTTTCCGCGATGATATAACGACGATGATGTCCAACACTCGTTTCTTAAAGCAGGATAAGCTATCGTCGTTCCCTTCTCTCACCGCCGCACTGCGCGGATTTGCACCTGAATCGTCGTATGCATAACTACCTGGAGCTCCGATTTAGCTGCAGAATAAACCCCTGAAAGATCTGGAAACCTGAAATTACCGCTAAACCCTGAACAAGCCCTGGGCAACCAAAGCCCCCACCTCCCTTTTTCGGAAGGCGACTTGCAGCTCGCTCTGCACGTCCTACAAGAAGGAGGCGCCAGTGATGAAAAAAACGCTCCAAACAGCCAGGGGTTTGTTTCAGAGCCCCGGTGCTTGAGTTGACGATGGTGTTCATGCCGCCCCGGCGGTGCAAACTTAAGTACTTGATGTGATTGGAGAGGCTTCGAGGAACTTCGCGAAGAGTATGGAGCTACTGAATCTTGGCTTCAGCAGGCTGCAACATCGATATCTGATGCTACATTTGCTACATGTGAGCGCTTCTTTTATCTTTTCAGAACAGAACAGAATCGACTCGTCCCCCCATCAGCCGCCTCTGTGGCCAGCGTCCCGGCATGAGCCGCGCGACGAAGGCCGCTGCAAACGGCAGAAAGCTGAGCGTCCTCTGCCTGTCCATGACAAAAGCTCCCCAACATGCTCTCCCTGACAACAAGCAGCGAGACAGTCAGTGTACGAGCCTCTTTGCCTTATCTTGGAGACAGCGGTTTAGCGATCAAGCCAACTGCGGCGACCGGGTCGAAATGAGGGGCAGGATGATGTGAGATGTACAGCTGAAGAGTTGCTGCAAGTAGGAAATGCGAGCATTCAGTAGCTCAGATTCAAACAATAAAAGTTTAAGTTTAAGCCCCTACCACAGATGCAAGGCAAGTGAGCATTTGAGGTGACAGGGGCAAGGCCCCGGTGCTGCATGGTCTGTCCTGGGTTGCTGCCGGATGGGAGTTCTGGGTGACGCGAGGGCCATGGCCACATGTTGCAAGAATCCTCACAACATACAGTGTCAGAAGTACAGAGAAGCCAGATGTATCAAGCAAAGTATTCCAATCTATGTCCAAGGACCGCTTTTGACTATGAACCCTAGGAAGATCTAGGAAGTCAATGTCTACATACCAGGGCGATGAAGCCGGGAAACAATGGAAGACCAACGAACCTCGAACGTAGTGCCGCTCCCTAACACGCGACGAGGACGCGCCTGCGAGTATGCCTTTCTACAGAATCAGGCACATGCATGCGAATGCAGCTTGACCTTGCAGCCTTCGACTACCGATTGCCTCTGGAGGCGAAAGCCTGTTGCGAGCGCATAGTCCCGTTGCCTTCAGCTCCTCCACCTTCCGGATCCAGACTTCCTTCTCGCGGAAGGCCTCCATCCCGAGTATTTAGATATTTATTTTATCCGCGTGAGGATTTCAGGGTTCGGATTTCGAGGAGCTCGAAAACAACCCAAAGTTAATTTGCTCTGACCACCTTTTTCGTTGCTACACTTCGCAACACCCTCGGAGCCAAAAACTAGGAATCCCGATCCAGGGTTAATTTTCTAAACTCACACATCTCTGAATGCCTGCCTTGACAGAGTGGTCTTTGCACTCCGATATCGCAGCTTCCACCTCGATCTTGGGCTTGCGGCTGTCAATGTTCAGTTCCACGTTTCGTGCATGATCACCTCCCAACTGCTCGCAACAAGGTTTTCCGGTTCTGCCGTCTGGGCTGAAAGATCCATTGCAGGAAGGGCAAGTCCAAAAATGTCCAAACCCAAGCCCCTCGTTCCTGAACACTGCACCCGCGGCAGTGACCTTACCGAGACCCTGGAGTGCATCTGTTGCTGAACGCCAGCTTCTCCGGCCTCCTGGATCCTTCTTCGGCATGCTTCCACCTCCTCGCAAGGCGATGCAACCAGAATCCGCAACCGTCCTCAGCGAAACATTAGGGCCTGGGCTGCACTCCGATCCGGAGTAAGGGCTGAAAGCGTGCCTGTGAACAGCCATCTACAGCTGCAAGATCTTCGACCCCTGCCCGGGGCCACTCAACTCCACCTCTAAAGATTCTCAACACCGAACCGAAGACCCCGAAGACGCCGAAGGCCCAATCTCCTGCTCCTTGGAGAGCCGGCCTGCTTCGAGCCCAAGAAGCTCACCTGAGAGTCAACATCCAACCTTCACCTGAACTTGACCTCAGCCTCACATCAAGCCCGAACCACCGAAGTACGGTTCCTGCCCAGCTGCTGCGCAGGGAATTTCCAGCTTCTTTCTGTGCCTCTGCGCCCAAACCCACATAATTCGGCAGCTGTCGAAGACATGTACGGCGAGACTTGACATCTCTCCCACATCTTCTTTTCCAGACCAGGCTTGCAGCCAAAGCCCCTTTCGAGTGTTTCAACAGCCGAATTCTGACCCGAGCCATTTCACCAGAGGGCCTTCAGGTCGGACCTGCGGGCGGTGACCTCCTCGCCGGCTGCGAGGAGGGCCTCTGATTCAGGAAACTTCTTCGGCGACTTCTCATGCTGCCAATACTCGGGTCTCAGCTTCATGCTGTGGAGCTTGGCTAAGTTCGGGCTCTGTGATGTTTCGGTAGGTAGCCATGGCAGCCCTTGACACAAACACAGTGCTACGAAACCAAGTGGATGGCATGCTGAAGAACGCTTCCGAATGTGTGTGGCACACCCCACGCCCCGCAGTTCGTAACAGCGGAAAATCGCAAGCCTGCAGGATATCCCGCAACACAACTACCGTGTCCCCACGGATTACATCCCTCTTTCTGGTGCCCCTCACCTGTCGCACGTCGTTGAGCTGGCATTCGAGCTGCCCGCACTCATCATCCACATGCGCCAGCTGTCGCGTGAAACGAAGCATTTCCTGAGATTGCTTTCCCGCCCCCTCGCTTCATACTGCAGTAAACAGGTGCTAGATGCTTTTCAATTCAACCAAACCCAGAAGCGGACTTCGACTAGCTTTTGGGTCGGTTCACTTTCAGCGATAACGGAGTCTGCATGAGTCCCCCAACCACGGGTTGCCCGGACCCCCGGTCGCCCTCTGCAAACAGCGCACCTGAAGGCTGGAAACGCCTGGAAAGGCCTTGTTTTCACAAGTGCCTCCAGGAGTCCGCTTGCACTTCCCTGACAGAATCCTTGAGAGCCAGAAGCTCGGCCTCCTCCTCCTTGATCCCCTGGTGCCTTTGACCCAGGACCTTGGCCAAAAGGACGGTCAAGCAGGCATCAGACTTCAGAGTGCTTCGAGATTCAAGGCTTGAGGCGCCCGAACATGACCTGGAAACATGCCGCCACGGCAGCTCTTACAAAAGTACTCGGAATAACAAAAGTCACAGCATCCGTGTTTCACTTCAGGCTTCCTCGTATGTACTTTCGACATCGGACCGACTCTGCACATAGCAACGCATCGGAGGTCTCACGGAAAAGCACAAGAAGATCCCACTCAATCTCAAACTCCATTGATCCCGAGAGGATTCAGCACTTGCCCAACAAAAATCGGCTGTGGAACCTGTTGTTGGCGTTCAACTTCCTGCTCCACCATCCAGAACTCTTGCATAGTGGCCTCCATACGCTTCATTGGACAATCGCGGCAACCTCTACACTAACAAAACACCGACCACGAGCCGTGAAAGCCAAGTGCAATGAGCACGCCGCTGATGCAAAGGCCTCCATTTCGGGCGAGCCCGATCAAACCCTGGGCCTGCGGTGAGGTCATCTAAAGGACTCTGCGATAACCATGTCAAACCCTGACTCGAACCGATCGATGTTGTAAACTCAATGACGACCGCCTTGAAAACAAGAGAGGAACGAGAAGCAGCGGTGCATCCCTTGTGGAATCTGGATGGTGGCTCATCTTCCACAAGCCGAAAACTGCCAAGTGTCTCTGAGTAAGTGCTCCATTCAGAACTCGTGAGGCCCGAAATCTCTGCAGGTGAACTGTTGAATGCATCACCACTTGAGCAGCTAGGCTACAAACATCGACAAGCAATCACCCCGATGCGATTAGATGCAGGACGCGTAAGAGGTTTAGAGTGTGACGGAGTGAGTGACGAACGTGTTTTGTCGCAAACCCACACAGAAGGAAAGGCAATGCAGACTGGGACCTCCACCAATTGCTCCAACCGGTGCAGCTCCTGCTGTGCCAACAGCTGTCCTTTGGGTTGCGGCTGAAAGGATTTGCGGAGGCTTCGCTTTGCTCTTGGGCTGCGGCCACTGAAGTTTCAGAAAACTCCTGACGACTAAAAAGCTGCAGAAGCCATGACACTGAATCCATACCCTGCACATCCCAAGTCCGGCTGGCAGCCCCGAGTGAAAATCCGGATGAGTGCACGAACGGAGCAACTTGGGGAATTTCAAGCTTTCAACCATGTAGCAGCGAAGAAGTCAGAGCTTGAAATAGTTCGAGGTTCTGAGCGTTTCATTTCTAAAGCAGTCTCGAGATTGGAGTTTGAAGCGTGGGAAGGAAGATCACTGTGATTCCTGAAACCATGGCGTCGTCCGCTGTGCGACGGAAGTGTGGTAGAGGACGCGGGTGGGTCCACTTGGAACCCCCGAGGATTCAGTTTCAATTTTGAGGAGCCCGAGAGCTGACTGAAAAGTCTGAGCAATCGAAACATTGAAAGATTTCATCTTCGAGTATTGAAAAGATTAAAAAGTACATGGAGTCTCAAAGTTCGACCTCTTCACAGGCTTGGATGTTTCAGGGTTTGGGAGATTGATAGGAAAGATTGACGTGTCTCCCCTGTGGAACATCTGGCATTCAGGGCCTATGCTTTGAGTCTGGGGAATGCGGCTTCGAGTTTAAAGGTGGCGCAAGCAAAAATTTATCAAATCCGTTGTTCGGAACCCGAAAAGCTAAACCGCAGTCTTTAAGCCTCGACTGTACACTCTAGATCCGATCAAGAGTGCCTCGCCGCCTCCACACGGACAGTTTATGATCCCGACAGTTCTTCGGACCACTTTTCTGATTGCGAAGCCACGTACAAGCCAGCGGATAAACATGAAAATAAAGTGTAAGCGAGGGGCCACATCGAAACCTATTGCAAGCGGAGAACAAAGCGTTCCTAAGCCAGGAAAGGAAGAAACCGCACGCGTTGTATTTCTAAGAAAACCAAACAGGGCCCAGACTCCAACCCCTTTGAAATGTGCACATCGTCTCCGTCTCTATATGTCCTTATCGTCCCTAGCAGGGCCCCAGTCGCCAATAGCCAGGAACCTCGAAGGCCCAGTGCCCAAATGCCATGGCCCAGACGGGAAACGCCATGACAAGAAGTTCCACAAGAGCGACGAGTTCAGCCAGGACAACCTTGAAGAGAAGATCCAGTTCTTTGCCATGATCTTCAAGAACTTCTTCCACACTGCGAAAGATAACTACAAGAAGGATGCCGATCCGAAGAATCGCGACGACGACGTGCTGAAGAACAACACGGCTATGGTCTCTTGCGACTTTGGCCTGAACGCGTCGTGGAGATTGACTGCAATACCGACCGAGGTTGCATGTCCACGAGGGCTCGCGTGGAAGAGGCTCCTCGATGAGGCCAACAGAGCTTCCAGCGCCCTGTCGGGCTGGGCTGAAAACCGACACCAACAAGGCCCTGAAGGAGAACCCTGACTCCAAGGTGTGGTTCCTCCAACGCGAGCGCTTGGCACGCAAGCTGGTCTCGGTGCCGCGATTGAGCGAAGACTTCATTTTGAACCACTCCGAGGCTGAGACCAAGGAGTTAAAGACCCGAACGGCGGGTACGAAAAAGCTCCTGAAGACAGTGACCGAAATCAGCACGTCAAACTACAGGCCCGCAAAGCCAATGAACAAAAGGTCCAGGACCCGAAGGTTTTTTCCCGTTCCTAAAAACCTGAGGCCAGCAAGCCGAAGGCCGAGATCTTCAAGGAGATCTTCAAGGTGATGCCAAGTACTCGAACACACCAATGCCGCCCAAGAGCCCCCATAAGATCCATGGCGAGTTTACGGTTTACGCGCAGCCCGGGCACCGCAGAGGGGGTTTACCAGTCCGACTCCATCGGATGCAAAGGGCCTTTCAAGCTTTCAATCTTACTTTAAACCCTCTCAAACTTTCAAGCTCGGAGGCTTCAAACTGCAAGCTTTCGAGCTTTCAAGTTTTGAAACGTGTGAACTCCAAAACGTTCAATTCTCAAGCTCTCGAACTCGCAAGATCACAAATCCTTCGAACTCCAACCTCTCGAACGTTCAGTGCCGATCGAACTCAGTCACAGCGAAATGCTTTTGGCAGGTCGAGTTCAAAGCAGGTCGAGATCGAACCTTTCAAAGTTGGACACTTTCGATTTTGCTGCGAACTTTCTAACCATCGAACCTTCGAGCGCGAACACCCTCACTCGGGACACCGTTCGTTTAGCCGAAAGCCGCGACCCCTTCAGCCCTGGAAGCCGCGACCCCTTTTGTCAGGCCGAGGGTCGCTGCGCCTCAATTCGCAGATCCTCCCGGACAACCTGTGGAGTCTGAACATGTTGGGGATTGCAGAGTTCAGAAGTCGGAAGGTGCTCAAAGTCGGCTCCTAAGGCGCCGCATTCAAAGCCCGCCGTTTTGAGCGTCACCGTTTTCCTGAGCCTCAGAATCTGAGAATTTAGCACTTGGAGGTTCTAGGAAACTTGAGCTGCAGAGTTCATCGACGCAGGGTCCACTGGCACAACGGACGAAAAATTCAAAGCGAAAGGAATCTGGATCGTGTGTTTGGCGAATCCGCGCTGTCAATTCAGGCGCGCCGAACAGCTCATGTCCCCTCCATCACCGGACATAGGCAAACACTGAACCTGCAAGCCCTGACAGTGAAGAATCCTGAAGCCTGAAGCATAGAAACACAAGATCGGAAACGGAAACCTGAGAGCAAGCTCCAGCTTCCGCTGCTGGAGCTAAGCCTCCTCACAGAACCTGAAAGCTTAAACCCTAAAGCGCAGACTTCAGGTTCTAAAGCACCCCAGCCCCTCCCAGCTCAGAAGGCACCGGCCTGCATGTCGGCCTCCGTTTGACGCAGGCGCCGGTTCGAGCTCTGCGCCTCGAAGCGTGCCCGGGCGATCTCCCGGTCCTTCGGGGCTGCGGGCTCTTCAGGGTTTCGGGCCTTTCTTTGGAATGGCTCAAGGTGTAAGGTTTTTGTTTTGACACATTTTTCCTTTCGAATTCTTGTGTGGCTAGAATGCCATGATAGCTGAGACAGGTTTGCGAGGTACGGTACTGCTGCACAGAATGGCCTCACGCTCGCTTGTCGCTGCACACAAGCCCACAGAGGAGCTTGAGGGGTTCACAGGTCCCATATCGCAGCAGTAGCAATTGTCGTCGTCCGACTCGTCGTTGTGCTGCTGCTGCTGCTGCTGCTGCTGCTGCTGCTGCTGCTGCTGCGGCTGCGGCTGCTGCTCCTGCTGCTGCTGCTGCTGCTGCTGCTGCTACTACTACTACTACTACTACTACTACAGCCACGACTGGTATTTTAATCAGGATTGCAGCGGCTTCGCCTCCAGGGCTAGCCTCTGTACCGCTTGGTCGTAGCGCTCGGATATCTGGCGGCACTCCTGGATGATTCGGCGTTGGGTGCACGGTCAAGGGCTTGGGGCCTTGGACTTGGCTGGCTTAAAGACCCTGGGCAACAGGCTTTGAAGTTTCGTTCTCAGGCCTGGAGCCACACCAGTTACGTTCCAGTCGATTACTTCCTGTCCAATCAATCCCTTTGCTTGAGGCGTTCGTGGACTCTGGAACGAGGCCTACCTCGTCAGATGCCTCAGTTCTGAGCACTTGGTCTTTCGAGCCGCCAACACTCAACACCTCTTGCAATACATGAGCAACCAACAGCCCCCAATCCGACTCTATGCAACCTCAAGCCCCAAGCAACAAGAGAGACACAGCTTGACACAAAAAACTTAGGGAAGCCGCCACAGATTTCAAGTCCATTAAGTGTCGAACCCTGATAGAAGACAGCCAGGCCTTGCTGTAGCACACGTATGCAAAGGAGATTAAATTCACCCACGAATGCCTCGTGGAGGCTCGCGCAGCGCTGTTCCGCGGCAGCGCCGGCCGCTTGCTCCTCCAGAAGCTGAGACCGTGAGACCCTGACACCCGAGTCGCCCAAGCTCCGAGCCAGTTCACTTTGGCGTCCGAAGGCGGTAAAGGTTTCTCCAGATTGCAGGAGCTCAGAACAAAGATGTCTTGCCTTGCCTGGCCTTTGAAAGGCAAGCTAGCCGTTTGCTCTGATTCAAGGCTCAAGCCTTGAGACTAGCCTCTTGCCGTTTTGCATTTTGTGGGCGTGTCTGTATAGAACCGAGGATCTGACGTAATTCAAGGCTCAAGATTCACTCGTTTTGGCACGTAAAACATTTGCGAGAAGCGCCGAGATTCGGAGAGTCTGCGTTTTGATTTCCAGAATGCCTGCATGAAACTGAAACCTTGAACTCCAGGCAGAAGGGTATGCACCATGTGGCACGCGGAGCACGCGGAGCTCGGGGGTGCCTCCCGCAAGGAGTAGGCCTGCTGGGCTGCGTGCTGCGCCGCCAGCCCCGCCTTCTCTCGGAGACTGGCAATTGCTGCCTGCCGCGGATGACAGTGCATGCTGCGGGACTGCGTGAAAAGTAGCTAACACATGACGCTGCAGGCCTGACGGGATGTCAGCTCGGAGATCAAAGCATCAGTGCTCTCTTCCTGTGAAGATGCGTCTCAGTGTCAACTACAGCATTCCCACACGAGCAGTACATAACCCGAGCCAAAGTACACCGCAAACCTGGCAGACTCTCGCAGTCCAAAAAACGAAAGCGGCGAGTCCTTGTACTTCTGGGCCTCAAGAGACTCAGCAGCGAGCTGTCGCCCACGCTTTTCTGCAGCTTCACGAGCCTGTTCCTCTCGGCTGAGCTGGCGTGACAAAGCCTCGAACTTGTGGCAAAGGTAGTCGATGGAGTGCTCGGCCTCCCGCAACTGCGGGCTAAGGTACGGTCGAGGAGAGGTCCGCTCCCCCTTTTGCAGTTCCAACGGTGGCGGTGGCGAGGGCGCAGGGCTCACCGGGTGCGAGCGATTTCTGACGTGCCTGGAGTGTGGTGTCACAGGCGACAAATGCAGCCGTTCTTGTAGACGTGGCGTGGGACTGCCCAGGGGAGCTAAGGGCTGCGATAGCATGGCAAAAAGCTACAGCAGATCCCATGAAGGCATTCGGGTTGAAGTTGCATGTCTACTCTGAACAGTTTGGACAAATTGTCGACTTCTAATGTTGCTTTGCGCTTTGATGCACATTCACGGTTCTATGGTAGACGTGACGTGGCTGCATGGAGAGAGCTCGCACGACCAGCTCAAAGCGTCGCACCTGCTTCTCCACCACAGCATCATCGGCATATCAACATTAACCGAAACCTTGAACTTAGAAGCTGTGAAGGCTGAAAACTGAGCCTTAACTCACGACCGTCACAAGACCCAAGATCCAAGTGCGTGAAGCTAGGTGCTACCCAGAACCACAGCGGAAGCTTCACATGATTTTCCGACTTACAGGACAGCCAGATGCTTCCTCACCAGTAGAAACGTACGACCATGAAGCGTCACGCTGTGAACCCATTGAAAAAAAGGATCCGGGGTTGACTGCAGGGCTACTTCCTTGGTATTCATGTAGAGGTGCTTCGGCATGTTCTCAAACTGGTCCGGACCAGCTGGTACCAGGTGCTGCCAAAGAAAGTCTTTCAGAATGTGTGTGCTGTGAAAGTTGTACAAATCATTCAGATCTTCGATAATGTAGTACCCTCCAGGCTTCAGGAAACGCAAGAACATGTTGCGGAACGTTTCAACCATAGCTCCACCAATGTGGTCACCGTCATCAATAATGATGTCGAATCGGATGTCTTTGCCTGCCTTTTCGTCCGCCAACAGCTCACGATGCAGTCTTGACACATCCGCACCGACAAGGCTGGATGCACGGTAAGTGCGAATCTTGTCGATATCGAAGGGCTCTAGTGTGTAGAGTTTGTGCTTGAAGAACTCGAAGACCTCAGGAACCAAATCTACTCCTACGATGCGGTCGACACCCACAGGCCGGAAGAAGCGCTCGATGGATGCAAGGGATTGACCCATACAGATCCCAATTTGCATCACTCGCAACTGTGGGTAGCCGCTGTAGCCATCGCCTCCTTCGGACTTGTGCGTGTGCATGTGCCTCTCGGTCCGTATAGATTTGAAGAGTTCGTCGTAGGGGTAACAATGGGACGGGGTGGAGTGGCAGCCCTGATCACCTCCCACGCACCATTTTCCATCCTTTTGCACCACATCCCTAACAATGGGCCGGGCAGGATGGTCCTGTGACAGCCGGGACAGCACCCGCCGCTGCAAGGTGAGAGCCCCCCGGCCGAGCCGATATGCAAGCTGCCAGTCACTGAAGTGCTCGTCTGGGAGGCGGGCGACTGGCGATGTGGGCGATGTGTGAACCGCGCAGTCTTTGCAACAGCGACATCGGATCTCAGAGAGGACTGGCACCATCATGGTCCTGAATCTCTCCATAGCCCCATCTCGATCCCGTCCCACCTCGAACGCGGCTTGCAGGAGTGCATCTATGTCAAACTGCAACTGCAAAGCTTGGGAGCTTCCGCTATGAAATCGTGATAAGTTGCGCATGCGAAGCAGTACATGTGGACAAACGAACTTGGCAGAGGCGGCACAGCCATTCGCGATGTAAGACTCTGCACCTGCAGCAAGAACCGGTAGGCCCAAGTGCATCCACTCCCAGCTGGTGAATCCAACATCTGTCATGCCAGCAAGGTTCCACCAGAACTCTGCCAAGCCTACACGTATGGGGCTCCTTGAAAGGTCCAGTGGTGTTACAGGAGTCAGCATGCGTGAGTATATTTTTAGCAGTGCCCAATCCACTTCCACCCGTCTGCCGATGGCTCTGGAGGATCTTCCATGGCTAAAGATTCCAGATGCTCGTAAGCCAGCAAACGCTTCCGCTTTCTGAAATGAATCTGTCAGGTTCTCCCATCGCGCGGACCGTGTCGCGGAGAAGAAGCCCTTCCAAAGCTCTGGCGCATACGCAAATGGATCCTCCCTCCACGATGCAGACGAGCTCACTATCCTCCAAGGCAAGGTCACAACAAGGTCGCTGGTCAGCTCTACACGCTGGCAAGGAAACACTGGACGCTTGAAGCTTCCCGGCACCCATGCCCATGTCCTCTGAAATCGGGCAAGTGTTTGCGGGTTCTTCACTGCCAAACACGCAGACAGGCCCGCGATCAAGCCCTGTGGGCACTCAGGGAAGCCAACAAATCGCCTTTGGAAGCCTGTGGCTGGCGTCAAGTAGATGTGTCCTCAAGGCAGCAACTTCCGAGAGGTTTGCCCAAAGAACATGCTACATGCCAGCCAAGCCAGGCCAAACCCAACACCTCGAAATGGCGTAGGCGTAGGCTTGCCTACTTGAGGTTTTGTGGTTGCTACGGTTTGGGCAATTCCACCCTGGCTTGGGGCTTAGGCACCCTCCGGATGTTTGAGGTTTGCGTTCATGGTTCACTTGAGACGCCAGAGGCCCTTTCGAAAGCTGTAAGAACATGGTGGCTATATCACCAACAGATATACGACATTTTTAGTCAAAAGCCACAAGGGCGAAGCCCTACTTGCTTTCCCAATTTCGCAACCCTCTGTTTATTCCAACAACTTTTTGCGTCCTCAACCAGGAGTCCTGCTATTGGCAACATCTCACCCTGTGCACTACTCAAGCATGACAAATCACTCTCGTCCTCGCCAGAGACGTGTACGCGGAAAGGCAACGGCATCGATTTCGTTGCAAATGCGTGCTTCATCCTGGATCAGCGGTGAGTCTGATGCCTGGACATCGAACGCCACCTTCGAGAGAGCTTTGGCCCACTTGACATAGAGACGGTCTGCGACGCCATCAGGGGCATTGTCTGTGCTCAACGTTTCCGAGGACACGGCGCTCGTCAAAACACCCTGCAACACATGGTAAACCTGGCGCAAGTCCGGAGCAACGGCTCCATAGCGTTCGGCCAGAGTTTTGGAAGAATATTTGAAAACTTGCCCTTCAATCCATGCCCCACTGGCAGTCGAGAACGTGGGGCTGCAGACAAAGGAGTCCTGTTGCCGGATGGTCCGAGACACCAAAAACTCCAGTAATGACCACTGAAGCATCCAGCAGTGGTTTCATACGCACCCACGCATGCAAAGTCAATGTCCTATGAGCTGCTCAGAGTCGAAATTTGTCGGAAACACACGATCCTTCGCTTCCAAGCCACGCATGAGGCTTCAATCGCCCAACCCAAATGTGCAAACGCAACATGCCTGATCGTTGACATGCAGAGGTTTACACACCTGATTGACTGTGAGACTTTTTGCGATAACCCTGTATGTCCATCTCTAATTTTCTTCGAAGAGGGATGACACGAGCCCAGCCACTCCTGTTGCTTCAGCTTTCTGTCATCCTTGTGGACCGCATGGATGCCAGCTCTTGTGCTTTCATTTTCACCAGGTGTGCAAGATTTGGAAACGGGACACAAGCTCCTAGATGAGCGACACGTCTTCTCCACTTCTCCAGTTTACTTGAATTTCAGGCTGCCAGGTTAAGGCTTTAAGAGTGTGGAGGTTGGAAGGTTAATGCTTTCAGTTTGCAGGTTTCGGAGACGCAGCGATGATGATTTATTGAAATTTAATTATTGTGTTACAAGTCTAGGAGCCAAGACCAACTAGACGATTGTTGAAAGCCAAAACTCGTAAGCCCTATTTTGCTCGTGGTGGGCTTTGTGCTGGTGTGCCCAGGCGTTTGGCGTGCAGGGCTTCGGTACAACTTTTGACAATAGCTCTTCACTCAACATCTACCAAGTTGAGACCATGTTCCGCCTTAGCGGCTGCATCGTCTCCTCATGATGCAATACGCCATGGCAGAAAAGGTCCAGAATTTCGAGCCAACCCTGACTTGGCTGCACGTGCAAGTCCCTGTTCTTGAGAGTCACAAAACACCAGAAGGCCCTTTTAGAATCTTCAGAGGTCTTGCGGACGAGCCTGTGGTTGCAAACGTGGCTTGCGGGCATCATTTCAGCGGCGCGGCGGCAAACTTAAAAGCACTCATATGAAGGGCCCATACAGCCCGGCACAAATCCCAATTTTAAGGAACACCCAACAGGAGATCCTAAACCGACTTAAATCCCAGTTAAGGCATCCCCAAAGTCGAATGTCTGCACTCTACGAAACCCTCCCATCAGTTTTGCCAGGCACGGCGCCCAGAACGCGGCAAAATTTGCCAAGGCGGTTCACGCGTTTTTGAAGTCTTACATTTGCGCTTTGCCTGTCCAATTCGAAGTAAACCTCGTCGGCAAAGCCAACTAACAATTTCATGTTGACGTCGTGGGGAAACTGAATTGACATCGTGGGTAAAATTTATCTACCACGGACCGGATTGCTGTGCTACCAACCCGCTCGCTTTCAATGGGAGAGTGGGGGTCTGTTGCTTGGCACGAACACCTTCAAGAGAGCAGTCTTGACGGGCATGCCATGAAATTCTAGCGAAGCTTCATACGGCATGGCATCATACGGGACTAAATAATTAGTGATATCATTCTGGAGAGGATGCCCCAATGGACTCATTATATACAAAGACCTGCAAGCCCTTGTCTACTGGGGAGGTCACTTGAGCTCTCCTACCTTTTTGATAAATTTTAGTGCCCCTCACTCAGGGCCTCAAATGGAATGGATCTCCAGCACTCTGTCCGAAAACAATCACACGTTCTTGGTTGTGGCCTGTGGC